TCTTTGTTACTCCTTTATTCTACACTAATTATTCACCAACTCTTTGAAACACATTATTGCCCTCGGGTTAAGAGCATGGGGCTTCAGAGTAAAACTGGCTGAGATTTTTATCTCTAAAAAATGTAAATCAGATCATCTCTCTCTCTCTTCAAAACTTCTAAATGTTTTTCATCACACTTTGAATAAAATCTCAACTCCTTATAATGGCCTGCAAATATCAACATAATGTGGCCACTGCCTACCACAGTTCTTAAACAAGCCAAACTTGGTCCTGTTTCAGGACTTTTGTACATATTTCTGGATCTTTCTCTTCAGGCAAGTGTCAGCTTAAATTTTACCCCTTGGCGAATACTTCCTCACTACTCTTTCTAAATCAACTCTTTTTTCTCTGCCAGTCCTTCTCTGTCAATATCATGGTTTTTTTTTTTTTTCTCTGTCTTCCTGGCACTTACTAATTTCTATAATCACCTTGCGTATTTATTTGGTTTCCTTGTTTATTTTCCTTTTCTTGTCCCCCAGAATGTAAACTTCATGAGAGCTGGAATCCTAGCCCTACCACCCAGACATATGGTATATGGTAGGTGCTCAATAAATGTTTGAATAAATGAATGAATAAATCCTTCCTCCATACTTACTGACCACATGACCATGAACTAATTGATTCCATGGGCTTTCATCCTTATCTTTACAATGTGGTTAGCAATTCCCATCCCATCGGGATTTTGTGAGAGTTGAATGAGCGTACATAGGTAAAGTGTCTAGAGCAAAGTGGGAAGTAGAAAAGGCACACAATAACTCCCAGTTGGGATTATTATGATATGCCAGTCTTTGAAAAGGGCCATGGGAACACAGAGATGATTCTAACACAGCCCTTTTCCCTAAGTGCTCAGTAGCTTTGTGTGAGTGGAACAAGGATTAGAGAGGTTGCATGTTTTGGACACCACGCCTCCTCTGCCCTCTGAACCTCTTCTGAGAGCCAGACTCTCCCCAGGGCTCGTCACACCCAGTGGTTGGGCTGCGTTCTTTGGCCTGATTATCCACATTGCCTTGTCTTATTGTTAATAAACAGTCCAGGTGCACTGACAAACCCAGAGATAACAAAACTAACCTAATTCTCTTTTATAGATGGAGCTATTAGGCAAGTATTTCTAGGTATTTCATAGAGACTTAGTATCTCTGGGATTTTAGTAGCAAATATGACAAACTTTTATAATTTTTGGGGGTAAATATTATAGATAAATGTGGGATTATGTCTCTTTGGCATTAATGACTATTTAATTAGATACACCTAAACAATTCCCAATATCTTCTAAGATCCAAAACCCACTCTTAAGATTACAAATTATAATGAAGATTCATAGTCAGAAGACTGAATTTCCAAATTAAGAGGTCTGTATAATCAGTTTTGATCATGCACGGGTGTCTAAATTCATTCATTTCCCTATCAGTCAGTCTCTGTCACATTATCCTGGAGGGTGATGAGCCCCTGAGCTCTAGTATCTCTATCTTCTAATTAATTGAACAGAGTAAGAAGGATATAAAATGATGTCTGTAGCATGATACCATTTTAATGAAAAATATATATTCACGCATGGAGGAAAAATAGCAGATGGACATATACCAACATGTTAATAGTAAAAGTAAAATTTTAACCTTTTTCTATGTTTTTCAAACTGTGCCATTTGAATACACCTGATATTATAAAGTAGAAAACAGAGTTATACAAATCAGCTCCACACTTACAGGAGAGGGGAGGGATCGTCAATGAACTTTTCACATTGGGAAAAACTAAGGGGCTGAGCTACCTGTGAATCCCAGTGAAGCAGCAGCTGGGGCATGGACCACAGCCTCTAGAAACAGGTAGAATATGTACTCCTGTGGCACAGGTCTCTGTTCTACTTTCTAAGAAGCTTCTTTTGAAGTTAGAGGGAAATAAACTTTGGCTTACTTTTAAGAATACGTTTCTAATAAGTATAGCTGAGAAAGAGTGACCATTTTGTTAAACCGTAAGCTTCACATTCATAAGCAGCCTTTTTTCTGACAGAGGTACTAGTGAGAGGATCGCTATCCTGGGTGGGTATTGGTTGAGATGAAGTCTAGTGTTGCTTTCCTGGCTAGAAGCTACAATTATCAAGCTGGATACTTGTTCATTACTCTCAGTATCTCCATGAGATGTGTATTGTTTTTATTCCTTTCCTCAGTCTTCCTAGAGACTATTAAAAATTGCCAGTGCTGACTATATTTCAAGTCATCATGGCAGGGTACGAGGAAAAGTTTTCAATTAGCAATAATCATACTGTGAATACATTTCATTAGCTATGATACTGCCACTGCGCAAAGCTAGTGTATTAGTTTTTATCCATGGAGAAACTGAAGCTCAGACAGGTTAACTAATTTTCTAAATAACCTAGGTCTTGTAAATTTCTAATCTGGGACTTGAGATTATATCTATTTGGCTCCAAAGCCCTATACTTCCTATTATGTCATGCTACTTTCCAATACTGTGATTCTGTACTCATAGCCTTGCTTTCTCTTCTTTTCCTTCTGCACATTTCCTCACATCTTTTCTTTAATTTCCATGACTTAGGCAACAATAGCATTTGGTAATATTTTTGGCTTTAATTTAGTATTGACATTGAAGGGCAAGGAAAGCAAAGAAATAGATGGCTAAGTCCTGGAGAGTAGTATCATTACTTATTTTTAACATAGTATCATTAATTATCTTTAACATAATTAAAGAGATTATAATTAAAAAAAAAAAACTTCCAGTGATAAGTGTTTAGAAAAATCTTAAGATTAACTGTTTAAAGATCACTCTTTTTACTATTAAAACATATAGTATGAGGCTTTCAGTAAGAAACTTATGAAAGACAATTGAAAAACAAATTGACAGTAAAAGCACATGACTCGGTACTGTTCTAATTTTAGATTCTCCAAATTTCATTTATTTGCAGTATACAACTTATGCTTTTGTATACAATTCTTAATTCTTTGACAATGATTAATCCCAAGTAATAGTTTCCTGGCGTATTATTCACCAGGCAGTAGCTCCTAATTAGGATGCCTTGATCCCCTGGAATGGTATAAGTTAAACACAGCTCCCTGGAACATGCGCAAGCAGAGCCCATCCTACACGTGCATTAGCCTGTCAAAGTCCTCTAAGTCAGGATGCTCCCACATTAGAATTATTTTGCTGCAGCAACCAGTTCAAGAGGGGCCGCTATATGGGATCAGAGCTAAGGAGGATATGAAGGCTCGGGTGAACTGATTCCTTGACAACATGGAGGTCTTTATCTTTGATTTAACACATTTGTCAAGCTCAAAGTGGGGCAAACCCTGGAGGTACTATTTACTATTCTAGGCTTTTATTTCCTCTGACTGCAACTTTATCATCTATAAAATGGGGTCATAATAACTATTCACAAGAGTTTTGAGAAGGTTTAATGGTTAATGATACAGAAATAAGGATGTAGAAATAAACAGGGAAATAGGAGTAAAAATAATGTTGTGGAAATCCCTCAATCAAATCTCTGCTTCACAAATCTTTGTGTTCGATTTTTACATTGGTGAAACATTTATGAAGTATTATGGAGATACAGCCCTAGCATCAGTATCTTGCTTGGCTCACAAGATCTCTCTTTCAAATTGAGCAGCCTGAAATAATGGCCAAAAAAAGCCTATGGGATTACACATGAAAATTAAAGCCAACGGAAATAAACAAAGCTCCTTAACAAATTGTAATCGCTATTTAATCATAATCTGGGAAATGTACTTTTGTACTTTATTACAGCCATGTTGTCCTTTAAACTATTGAATTTTATCAAAAGAGCACGACACTTGAAATGCTTTAGATTGAAAAATAACACATTTTTCAACTATTCACCTTGTCAGTGTCAGATTGGCAATGAGAGTAGTTATTAAAAACCTTAGCTCTGCTTTCAAACAACAAATGAAGTAAAACAAATCGCTTCATGAAAGAAAGCTAGCCACAACGATTAATGGTCAATAGTATGTATAATTTATTCTACCATGGAACAAGGAGCAGAGATGTTTGAAAATGACTGTTTATCAGTTTATTTTATTTAATAAATGATAGTTATTTCCTACATTAAGTAAAACTCAGTCTACTTATCCAGAGCTCATATTTAAGTCTCAAAATCACTTTGGCTGAATAATCAGAAGAAGCCATCATTGTAGACCAAAACAGGGAGATTTTTGGTAAGGATTCAGTGACATGGTTATACAGAAGACCAAATGGATTTGGTTAAGGCTGGATTACTTACATAAAGTCCAAAGATAAATTTAGTTGAAAATTGGTCACAGGTAGCCTTGCAGTCTCAAAGGGCATTTCTGACTAGACAAACAGCGTCTCCCAACATCCCCTCCACTGAAATAAACAGCCAAGTGTTCCCTCGCCACAGGCTGGGTAAATACTAACTAAACCGTCTGCCTCAATGCCAGTAGGAGCAACACTCCCTATTTTTTAGCAAAATATTTTTCCACTCTGGCCATCCAAGAAACTCTCCAAATCCAATACATTTCAATAGACTTTTAAGGCTTCTCTATTTTTCTCACTATTTATAGCTTTCAGATGTTGGCAGGTAGAGAACTACATTTTCTTCAGAATAAACTTATAAATGGCAGTGATGCAATTTCATCATATGCCCCACAGTATTAAGTATTAAAACAATCCTTTTTAAAATGAATGTAAACATTGACAAAGACTAGAAAACGAAATAAATTTCTTGCAGATAGTGTCTTAAAGGTCATATTTATACTGTGAAGAGTTTTGTTGGGCAAGGACACTGGGACCTGGCCCAGAAGGAAAGCACAGGCTGTCCCAGCTAATGTGTGGGGACAGTCTTTGCAAGCTAGAACAAAAGTCCAGGATGCTACGATCTGCCCCTTCAATGAAAGTAGGCTGATAAGGGCATAAAGGGAATATGAGATTGCCTTAATGTGTATAAGGTTAATGAACTGCAAAGCATTTGCTAATACAATACCTTACTGGTCTTTATAACAATCCTGAGCAATAGACAAGGCTATTATTCACTCTATTTTAGGAATAAGAAAACTCATTTTTAGAGAAATGAATTAACTGAGAAGTTCTGTGGCCCGATTGTGCAGAGCTGATACTAGAAGCCAGATCTTCTGCAGGCTAACCCTGTTTCCTTTCTTGATTCCATACTGTTCCTCCAAGAATTCAGCCCACAGAGCTTTACAGTCTCACTGGGAAGACAATCTATTCACATGAAAGAGTCAATGAATAACAAGAAAGATCAATTAAAGAGATTTGTTTAGAGAATGGAAGCCAGTGTTCTACTTGCTAGGAAAGGATTACATTTGGCTGATTAGGAGGTGATAATCTGGTACAATTGAAATGTGGAAATGTTGAGTTTAAATACCCAGTTTGGTCTCTAGCCAGCTAGTTGACCTCTGGAGGTCTCATCTGTAGAGCTATATGGCCCCCCTGGGGATTGTGGTGAAATAACCAAGGATGAAGCCCCTCTGGGGCCATGTTAGAGAGAGCCTCTAAGATTTTCCTCAAGAGCTCCCGCACCAGGATTCACGGTGGAAGCAGTACTTGAATAGGAAGACTATAGCTAGACAGACAAGGTAGGAGGGAAATCATGACAAGGAAAGATAGCCTGAGAGAAGTTATTGTGTCAAGGGCCGGATTGTTGCTTATGTGGGACAGTGAGGAGACATTTGATAGGTAGGTGTAAAAACCAAATGTGCAGCAAGTTCAACAATTATTAAACCAATCTTATCCATGTAGTCAGTCTGGACATTTTAGGTTAAGGCTTACTCCACTTATCAAGATAGTCATCCTGACTTTCCTTTCTTCCCTCTCTCCCTTCCTTTCTTCCTAACTTTCTCTTTCTCTCTTCCTTCTCTCTTCCTTCCCTCCTTCCTTTTTTTTCC